ATAGAAAATGGCCCAGTCAGTGACTCACACACTCTTACTCCATTTTCTCCTCACACTTGTCTGAAATACCCGATGTGGCTGCCTTCCTGAAACTCAGTAAATGGAAACTGAAGAACCCAGAAATGTGTGGGAGAATCTCTTCCTTCAAGGGAAAGGAGCAGACAGACAGACAGGAGCAGGCAGATGGAGAGACAAGCACCAGCCACATGCACCAAGTACTCCATGAATGTTGCAGTCCAATTTTACTTCTTTACACTGTTTAACTTTGTAATGTGAAGAAGTTGGACCAAGTTTAAATGACTGGGCTCTCTTTGACACATCACCGAATCCATAACAACTTGTAACGAAGTCTTCTGTTTGCCATCTGCAGGTCTGGCTGGCAGGAAAGGGAAAGGGGAAAGAACTTCCTGATGGGGAGGGGAGGAAGCTGGGTGGGAGGTGGTGAGATCTAGAATAAAATCTGAGATGGTCCATGGTGTCCTGCAGGCTGCAACATGCAGTTTAATCAGAGGGCCATCTTTTTTGTTCAAATTATTGTAATTATTAGAAAGTGTAACGTTTAAATATGCCAGTAAAAAGTTTTAGAACTTGTAACATTTAAATGTGCCAATACAAAGTTTTAAAAGCTTGGGATGGTGAGATCACTCAGTGAGTATAGGTGCTTGTTAAGCAAGCTTGGAGACCTAAGTGCCATTCCCAATCCTCACAGAAAGGTAGAAGGAGAGAACCAAATTCATAAAGTTGGCTTCCATGTGCACATCAGAGCACATGTACCCACTCGCCCATATCACCAATAATAATAATAACAACAGATAATGTTTTTAAAGGAAAAAAAGGGAAAAGCAACCAGACAGGTAGGTTTCTTTCAGGGCTTGGAGGTCTTAATGTTGAGATGATCAGATTCCCCTTGGATGGAACTGCGGGGTCAAGGCAATTCTTACCAAAGCACAAAGTCCGATCCGTTTGTGAAGAATAGACAAGTCTATACGAAAATTCATACAGAAGTTCAAGGGAGAGGAGGAAAGAAGTAGGAAGGGCTGAGTGACGGAGAGAGAGGACTTGAGAAGGAACAAAGTTGTAGGTCTCACTTCCTGATTTCAAACTTACCCCAAAGCTACAGTAATTAGCACTGTGTGATAGGGGCGTGGAACAGACACAGAGCTGAGCAAAATAGACGAAAAGTCCAGCAATACGTTCCCACATCGATCATCCAGAATGCCAAGACAGTTCTACAGAAAAAGTATAGTTTTGTTTTTTAAAATATATTTTATTGAAACATGTGCAAAAAAACCTTAGTTATCCACAAAAATTAACTCAAAACAGGTTACAGACCCAGATATGAACAGAACATATTTTGTTCTCACAAGAAATAGCAAGTGATAAACAAATGTGGCTCATTATACAACAGAATAACTTCCCATTATGAAGAGAGAAAGTATTGATGTGATGCACAACAGATGAATCTTGACATGCTCATAGCAAGAGGCTAGCCACAAAAGGTCAAGAGCTACTTGATGTCATTTACGTGAAATGTTCAGCACAAGTAGTTGACCAAGACACAAAGCAGACTGGTAACTGCTAGGGATTCTGGGAAAATGAAGAGGAAATGGATATTTCTCTAACTTTTAGTAGTAATTACAATGTTGCAAAATTAAATACTGGTGCTGGTAACACAACTCTATGTATATGTGAACCAACTCACTGAATTAATATTCTACTTTTTAGAATCTGTATTAGGTTTATACAGCTTTCTTTGTGTGTTAACTTTAATAATTCTAATAAAGCGATTAAACATTTAAAAAAAACAAATTTAAGGAACACATAGAAAATAAAACCCTCAACAGATCACTTCCCTCTTCTAGCCCTAGCACCCTATTGCAAGCTATCACACTGTCCTTAGTCTGCATTGCCAACTAACTCATCCTTCCGATAGTAGGCAATTCTCTAACCAAAGCAACATCCTCTTCTAAAAATGCAAATGACATTACTAGGGCTCAAAGAGAATCCCTCCACCAGCTTACTGTATTCTCTGACCAGCTTTGCTTCCCCAGGACTTACATGTACAGCCTTCCCTGGAGAAGGTTCCTTTCAAGGGAGAACTGACAGCAGTGTGCCATCCCATCTGTGTTCAAACATGAGTATTCTGTGGATGCAGAAAACCTGAAATCAGAAAGGAAACAGGAGGTGAAACTAGGCTGAGTTGGAGCAGGATCCATGATACCTACCATCCCCACTAGACCCCAGAGCTCTACCTGCTTTGTCTAGAGCTCTCAGAAAACACTGAGTTTCCTCCCCACCCCCTGGAAGAATGGCTATCATCAAAGAAAAAGCAAAACACACCAGGTGCTAGAAAAGATGCAGGCAAAATGAACCCTTGCACACTGTTAATAGGAATGAAAATTAGTACAGCCACATGGAAATTAGGATGGATATTCCTCAAAAAAACTAAAGCTGGTACCATCATATGGTCCATCTGTTCCCCTCCTGAGAACCCAATGAAATCTAAGTCATCCACCTAAATACGTGGTATCCATGCTTATTGCTGTACCATTCATAGCAGCCAAGTTATGACATTGGTCCAGGTGCCCACTGATGGATGAATGGATAAAAAATATATTGCATATGTATACAATAGAACATTATTCAGCCTTAAAGAAGAATTCAATGCCGTTTGTAGGAAAAAATATGTGAAAGTAGGAGAACTGCTAATGAGGAAAGGGGCCATAAGGAGATGGGGGCATATAGGGTAATGGGAGTAAATATAATTAAAGTTCATGTGTGAAAAGTCACAATGGAATTCATTGTTTATACAATTAGTGGTTAATAAAGTTTTTACAACATGAATATATCTTCAGCATATAAATCTTAAAACCAGCTTCTCTGAGGCATAATTTATAATAAGTAATAAATCATCGCCATTTAATGTGTTCAAATAAATAAAAAGTAGGGCAGGCACAGTGGGAACTCAGAGGGAAGTGTGTACTCAGAGGGAAGAAGCAGAAGAAACAGGAGTTCAAAGCCAGTCTCGGCTACATAGGTAGAGTCAGTCTGGACAATAGGAGACCCTGTTCCAAAAAATAATTAAAAATAGTAATTAGAAAATTCACTAAGAGGCAAGTTACATTTCCTGATGGCTAAGGATGTTGAGCAATTTCTTAAGTGCCTTTCAGCCATTTAAGATTCCTCTATTGAGAATTCTCTATTTAGATCTGTACCTCATTTTTAATTGGATTATTTGGTGTTTTGATGTCTTTGAGTTCTTTGTATATTTTGGAAATCGGCCCTCTACCAAATGTGGGGTTGGTGAACATCTTTTCCCATTCTGTGGGTTGCCGTTTTGTCTTGTTGACTGTGTCCTTTGCCTTACAGAAGCTTCTCAGCTTCAGAAGGTCCCATTTATTAATTTTGGGTCTCAGTGTCTGTGCTACTGGTGTTATGTTCAGGAAGCAGACTCCTGTGCCAGTTCATTCAAGGGTACTTCCCACTTTCTCTTCTAAGAGGTTCATTGTGGCTGGATTTATGTTGAGGTCTTTGATCCATTTGGATTTAAGTTTCATGCATGGTGATAGATATGGATCTATCCGCAGTCTTCTACATGTCATCATCCAGTTAGCCAGAACCATTTGTTGAAGATGCTTTCTTTTTTCCATTGTATAATTTTAGCTTCTTTGTCAAAAATCAGGTGTTCATAGGTGTGTGGATTAATGTCAGAGTCTTCAATTTGATTCCATTGGTCTACCTGTCTGTTTTTGTGCCAATACCAAGCTGTTTTTATTACTATAGCTCTATATCAGAGTTTGAAGTCAGGGATGGTGATGCATCCTGAAGTTCCTTTATTGCACAGGATTTTTTGGCTATCCTGGGTTTTTTGCTTTTCCATATGGAGTTTAGTATTTTTCTTTCAAGGTCTGTGAAGAATTGTGCCAGGATTTTGATGGGGATTGCATTGAATCTATAGATTGCTTTTGAGCAGAGGTCCACAGCTAAGCACTGAGCCAAACTCCTGGAATCCAGTTGTAGAGAGGGAGGAATGATGAACAAAGAGGTCAAGACCATGCTGGGAAAACCCACAGAAACAGCTGACATGAGCAAGTGGGAGCTCACAGACTCCAGACTGACAGCTGGGGAACCTGCATAAGACCAAACTAGACCCCCTGAGTGTGGGTGTAAGTGGGGGGGGAGGGGGCAATCTATGTGGCTGCTGGCAATGGAACCAGTATTTATCCATAATGCATGAAGTGGCATTTTTGGAGCCCATTCCCTATGGAGAGATATCTTGCTCACCCTAGATACAGGGGGGATGGCCTTAGTTCTGCCCCAAATGATGTGATAGACTTTTATGATCCCCATGGGGGGCCTCACCCTTTCTGAGGAGTCAGGGGAGAAGGGATGGGATGGGAAGATGGTATGGGGAGTGGAAGGATGGGAGAGAGAGGGAAATGGGATATAAAAATCAAACATACAAAAACCCCACCAAACAACAACAACAACAAAAAGGAGAGGCAATTTACACAACAGGCATGATGGGTAACAGCACTCAAGACTTGGTGTTTTCCTGCTCAACCAATTAGGAATCTGATCTCCCAAGCTGATCTGTTCTCCAGGGTTTTCTCTCCAAGTTCTGGTCCAGCTAGAGAAGATGGTGTACTTATTTAATTTGTAAACAAGGCTGGTGTTCAAGATTTTGATACTGATTCAACTTTAGAAGTGAAATGATGTGGGTGACTGAGGAGGTCCAGCCCCTTCTCCAGACAAGGCCTCCCCAGAAGGAAGAAGAGCATCTCATTTGAATTCAGAAAGAGTGCCTTCTTCCTCCTTACTGTGCATGCCCTCTTCTGCAGAAAAGGCACCTACTGCTTACTTCTCCTCTTGCCTTCGCTGTCACCTGTGTCTCCCACAAGATTTGTATCTGGGTCATTACCATGCTCTTGGGAGTAGTTAAACCAGCAGAGACTGAGAAATCTCACCAAGCCCTGAGACTCTCTCATTGTCCATTTCAGATCGACACAGACCATGATCTTCCTGCCGCTGATGTTGAGCCTCGGCTTGCACCTTCATCATATAGCAGGTAAGAACGGAGAGTGGGAGGGGCCTGGGAGCACCAAGCAGGCGATGGCCCCCTAGCCAAAGCTGGAAATGAGTTTGCTCCTCCGACTGTGGGATTTTTTGAGAGAGAGTGTGGTTACCTGGTTATTTCAAGTAACAGAGAAGAAAGGTTCCCAGGTGGCTGGCCCCATCTTACAGAATATTACTCCACCTGTCTCCATCATCCAATGTTTGCATCCAATGGCACGTCTGAGTGGATGTAAGAGAGCAGTGGTTCAGTTCCATTTAAGTTAAGGTTCTAAGCAGCTGCTTCCCCTCTATCAGGGACAGTGACCAGGGCAAACTCATGTGAATTCTTTTAGCAAGCAATGGCGGTAGCCACTGGTCATTTAATGTCTTGGTGTGGACTGGAACGAAAAGGCAGAGTCTCCGTAAAGCCCCATTGAAAACTGAATCTGAAAACTCTGCTTTAGAACTTGAAGATGGGACATCTAGTGGAGGATGTGGTTGAGCAGGGAGAAAGCAGTTTCAGAATTGTTTCCCTGGGGAAGGTATTTCAGATCACTGGTGTGTATCATCAGGGCGGCAGTACACTTTCAAGAGAACACTGGGAGTTAAGAAAATAGACAGGCGTAGGGCTAGAGGACTGGATGTTCCACAATGGAAGAAGCCTTGAGAGGAATCATGGCCAAAGTGATCCTTTGGCACCAGATAACCTTTTGAGGAGTGGTCTCCTTGTCTCATCCTGTCCAGGTTATCTTGCAGCCATGCTCCTTCTTTCCCTGTGGGCCTCTTAATCTGACCTGGCACTAGGACACATATTTGGCACATTCTTCTTTAAAAAGAGACTACTATTTTTCCTCTTTATTGTCCCCCTCTACCCCAGTGCTAGTTAAAGAAGCATGTAATGATTTTGCCCTGATTGGACTAGACCTTTTGTTCCCATAAAGCCATAAAGGGACCAATGGGCAAAAGAAGGGTCTGAAGCTGGAGTTCCCGTGCCCTAACGGGATTCTGCATTCAGGAGAACCCTGGGGGAGTGTGCAGCCTCTATAGATTAGTAGCTATAAAGCCACCAAGGATGGTGCTTGGCTGGTTTTCTTCTGTTTTCTCTTAGGAAAGGAAGGGGTTAGGGAAACAGGGATGAGGGGTGGCAGGTTATTTTTGTTTTGTTTTTTGTTTTTTGCTGTTTGTTTGCCTGTGCTTTTTCATTTCTTTTCTTTTTATTTCATTTGTTTTTTGAAATTTATTTTATTTTATTTATTTTACAGCCCAACTGAAGTTTCCCCTTCCTCCCCTTCTCCTATTCCCTCCCCTAACATCCCTTCTGCCCACCCTCAGGCCCCCTCAATCCACTACTCTGTTTCTCAGAAAATGGCAGGCCTCGCATGGGTGCCAACAAAGCATGGCATATCAAGGTGCAGTGAGACTAAACTCCTCCCTTTGTGTTAAGGCCGGGGAATCCAGCATGAGGAATAGGATCTCAAGAGTCAGACAAAGCGTTAGGGACAACCCCTATTCCCATTGTTAGGAGTCCCACAAGTAGACCAGGCTACACAACTGTCACATATATGTAGAGGGCCTAGGCCAGTCCCATGCAGGCTCCCTGGTTGTTGGTTCAGACTCTGTGAGATCCTATGAGCCAGGTTAGTTGTTTCTGTGGATTTTCTTGTGATGTCCTTGACCCCTCTGGTTCCTACAGTTCTTCCTCCGTCTCTTCAGCAGGATTCCCTGAGCTTGGCCTAACGTTTGGCTGTGAGTCTCTGCATCTGTTTCCACCAGTTACTGAATTAATGCTCTCTGACGACAATTGGGGTAGTGACCAATCTGGCCATGGGAGATGGCCAGGTTAGTCACAGTATCCACTATTGCCAGGAGTCTTAGCTAGGGTCATTCTTGTAGATTCATGGAGTGTCCCTTGTATCAGGTTTCTATATGGCCCTGAAATGCTGCTCCCCCCATTTCCAGTCATCTTTCAGTACTCTCCTACTCTATCCAGGCCCCAGCTCCCACCCCCCACCTGCTCCCAGTCCACCCAAAAGATCTCTTCTATTTCCCCTTCCCAGGGAGATCCATGTGCCCCCCCTCGCCCCCCACCCCCGCCTCCTTGTTACCCAGTCTCTCTGGGTCTGTGGATTGTAGCATAGTTATCTTTTTCTTTACAACTAATATCCACTTACGAAAGAGTACACACCATGTTTGTCTTTCTGGGTCTGGGTTACCTCACTCAGGATGATTTTTTTTCTAGTTCCATCCAGGGCAATTACAATCGTTATAAGAAGAATTAGGTATTAAAGGAGCAGGAAGAATGCAGAGAAGCAGGTATGTTTATATTCACAAGAGGGCTTATATGTGCTGAATGTTGTACAATTTACATATCTCATTCAATCTTTACAACGGTCGTTTGGCAGGTAGAGAAACTGAGAGTCGGGGACATTTTTTATTGTGCCCTGGATGAGATAGTTACTTGTAGCATATGAAGGATTTGCACACACTGGTGTCCTTTCTGCCCGGTTAGCTTGGTGCTAACAGTGTGATGTAACGGTAGACAATCTATAAATCGTCTAACTGGG